TGGGTATATAGACTGGTGCATTGAGCATTAAAATTATTTAGCAATGCTTAGGGGGCAGAAAGAAGATCAAGATAGCTTTGTGTTAGAGGAAGCAAGTACCTATCAAAAATACGTTTTTAGTGTAAGAAAATGTTAACATCAGTTTATAAAGGTCTTTTAATTGTAATGAATTGAATTTACCTAGAATGAAAATTCTTAATAATCTGGTTTTCACCACATTTATATATACAATCCAAATTCTTTTATTAAAGCTGGATTTCAACCTGATTTAGGATTTATCATCAGGCTTAATGAACAAGATAAATGTTCAGTTATGGCTATAGAAGTTTAAAAGAACAATGCCTAGCATGTTTTAAGATACATGTTATAATTTTTAAGACAATTCATATGAGTGTAATGGTAAGGTTAAAATATACTGTGCATTGAGATAGACATAAGAAAATAATAAATTGAAATACATAATAAGTATACTGTTTAAATACCAATAAGCTATAACATAGTGATGTAGTAATAATATTTAAATGTTACATAATAATTTCAACTTATTATATTATGTAATTTTATTTTTTGTATTAACTATCATGCTCAGATGATTGAACTTTGCTTTGAAGGCAATATTGTACCACTTAATCAGAAAGTTACAGAAAATTTTATTACTTTTAACCAATCACTGTTTCTCACCCTCTGGTCATGTGGTTGCCAATATCTCAGTGTAAATTTAGGAGTCATAGGCTACTGATATGAACACCTCACGAAAGCCCTATTTTCTGTTATTTTCAGTAGTATAAGCTGATATTGCTTCCAGCTCAGCAAAGATTTGTGTAGAGATCTGAACAAAGTGAAAGAAGCTTAGCTTGGTGATATGTTGATAGAAGAAAAGATATTTGTAAACAATTTCCACCAAAGTTACAATCCTGTTTTTTTTTTTGTTAAAGCCTGCTTTATCATTTTAAACTTTATTTGAATTATGATGTTGTAGTATGATGGGCAATAGGGTGTCTTTTGTGGAACAAGATGAGATGTTCTTAAGAAAATAATTTTGCACCTTATCATATCACAGTTTGTTTCACAAACGAGGCCACTGTGTTTGACTATGTTTATATTAGATTATATCAGCATAAGCAACTGCTTCCATGAGCAAAGAAAATCACTGAAAATAAATAAAATATATATATTATATATAATAAGTTTTGACTTACACTTTCACCACCTCATTTTATTCCAATATATAAATAAGTAATTCACACCAATTTTTATCCATATTGAATAACATTGTGAGGTTGCTCAAGGTAGTTGGTATTTTACTTTGTAGCTCACATTGTATCTGCATATTCTAAATATTCTAAGCAATTCTGAAAGGTTCTAGATTATTCTGGAATGTTCCAGAACATTATGGATTATTCTAGAGTATTGCACATTATTCAGAACGTTCAAGAACATACCATATATAAATAATCCATGCTGGCACACTTTATTTGTGGAATGTTCTGTATGATATGACAGAAGTTTCTAGAATTTCTACAAAACACCTTCAGGTCAGCCAATCTATATATGATTATTGAGAGCTTCTTAAACTGGTCATAACCTTTCTTGGTGGTATCCCTCCTCATGGAGTGCAATTTATAGTACCTAGAGCACTGGATTATGCACGATGAATGGCCAAGGCATTATATCCCCTCAAGATCTGAATGTTTGTGGGACAATTTAAGCTCACTTGGTTGTGAGGAAAGAGGACTCCATGACATTGGCATCTTTATTGTTCAAATTTATCTTGGAATATTGTTCACTGCTTCTGATGCCATTTTTGCTCCTCCCAATGATCGTAACTTCCGACAATGTCTTGTTAAGTCTAAGAAAGGGAATTCTGCTCTTTCAGAATTTGTCTGTCATAAATTTGCCGGACATCTATGGTATCCCAGTGAGGAACTCTTTGATTTGGCATTCTTTGATTCAGCTATATTCACAGAAACAAAATGAGCAATGGTAAAGGCATTAAGTGAGAAGGAAGGCATGGATGAACTTCCAAATCACATCCAACTGAATATTAGGAAGTCTGAGGACATGTCAGTTGAATATTTTCTCACAAAGAACACAACAGACTTATTCAGATGCCTTTAATTGTATTTGGATTTCTTGATTATAGCCTGAGCCATAGGAGCTCAGAGAGGACTACAGGTAGGCACTGCAGACAGTTCAACACTTGAATGTTGTAAATGTCAGTGCTGAAAGAGATGTGGTTCTGATTGAAGAGTATAATGCCATCATAACAAAGAAATAAAACAGAAACAATTCTTCCTTCAAGTCATGCAGGATCATAGAAGATGTCTTCCTAACAGCAAAAAAAAAAGGGGGGAACAGTAACTAAGCATATCAAAATCATAGAATTATGGACGTATACATACTATTTTATGTGCAATAGAATAATAATAATTTATAATACATAACAGATACATTTTTATACCACATAGTATATACAGTACCCAAGCCACTGCAGTCTAGAATTTGAACATCACTGAGCAACCTTTGAATATGGTCCAAAATGGATGAAGTTTGACTTTTAATGCTCATTTTTTTGTACATTGGAGCAAAATTAGAGGGTGAGAGCTTCAGAATTCTTAACCTCAAATTTTACCTGTGAATAAAGACCACCCTAATATGTACAAGTAAAGACAAAACTTTTCAAAAAAGGAAGTAAAGTATAATAGCACAGGCAAGAATTAACATATATTGCTATATGTTAATTCTTGCCTGTGCTATTATATAGGGATGATGCAAATGCTGTTTCTACTATCTTGTTTGCATCATTTTTGAGTCATTGATATTACTCATCCCTACATTTACTTCCTTTTTTGAAATATTTTTTCTTGTTTGCTTCCCAACAGATCAGTGGTATTTCTGCGGACTTATGTTGCTAGAAACTAGGTTTCGATACTCCTGGTGGGCAGAGCACAGATAGCTCTTTGTGTAGCTTTGTGCTTAATAACAAACAACAACAACTTTTAAGTGTTTGCTTGTTTTCTTGATGCAATATTTCAATAGACATAGGAAGGTTGTGGTTATAACCAAGTTCTAAATACAATGAGAGTTCCAATTGTAACATTTATTGTTTATTTATTACTGGCTGGTAATTCATGTTTCACCCTGTACTTAAGCTTTTTAAAGGAATGCCAAATTTCTGTAAGAAAGCTAACTTTAAGAGGTAATGATAACACTGTGTACCTTAGAATTATGATTTTTTTTTAAATTACTACTAGTTAATAATATTCATAAAAGTGGATACTTCGTTTTAAACTGTCACCTCAGTGAATTTAGTTGACACCATTGTTTTGGCTTTTGAGTTATTAAAAAAAGAAAGAAGAACGAGAAATTCAAATGTTTTACTTTGAGATTTACTGACATTCCCAGAATTTGTGACATAGATATTGTTATAAAAGGAAACACTGTATAGTAAAGTTCTGATGACCTATTGATGAGATGTTTAAAATACCATTTTGATGAACAATCCAAAACATCCCTACATAGAGAGTGCTACTGCTTGCCTGATGTATCGTATGTATGTATGAAAATAAAATGGGTTTAAAACTCACTAAGTGTATTAAATGAAATTTTCTGATAAGCAATTAAAAAAAAGAAAGTCAGTTTGCTTATAACTTTCACATGGTGTAAAAGTTATTTTAATTGTATGGCAGTGATTTTTAACATGATGAAACTGCATGTGTTTTTCAAATAAAAATAAAGATAAGACTTAGTTTTATAAATTAAAATCTTTACGAAAAAGTTTTACAAGAATGTAAGAGAACATAAAAATAAGTAATTAAAATCTATAAGGTAGGAATTGTTAATTGTTTCTTAAAAAATATTTAACAATGAAATAGTTTAAAATATTGAAAACTGCTAGTTCATACAAATATCAGTTATAAAAAATAAGATTTTAATGTACATAAGCAACGCAGTCTGTAAAATTACATCTGAAACTAGTTACTCTAGTAATTTGCTTTTGCACCAAATTGATGCATCCAGCCATTTGAGAGTTAATAAGCTAAAATTAAATACATAACTATCCTGAGTCTTATCATAAAGCTGTAGATGAGAGTAATAAACAGTAAACAGCAAATCGTGTATGTTTAATAACAGTAAAACACATTCCTTCCATGCATCAGAAGAATGTAGTTTACAGAGCAACCTGTGGATGCAAGGAAAATTTACATTGGTGAATTAGTGACTATCACTCATAAGCTACAAGGAACACACAAAACTAACTATCTGAAATA